GCTTAAATATATAGCTCATTAATTCCAGGACAAGGTAATTTTCTAGATGTCTACAAATACTTTTGAGTACCCTCCTACCATTTCTAATGAATAGATGCTCTTAGCTAATCCACAAAGCCAATTATTTCTTTATTCAAATCTTCTGTAGAGTAAAATTTCAACACCCAGAGAGAAAAAACAATGATTACTTGGTAGATTTCTTCTCAAGAGTAACAAGAAATCAAATTCAACACTATGCATAAGGAATAGGCATTAACAACTGTGGATTAACAGCTTCATTAAGTACTGTCAATACCTTCTCTTATTTGATTATGAGGAGTGGAGGAGAGATTCTCTGAAGTTGGTATGTTTGGTTCCTGGACAATATGATTCTGAAGAGATGCAAGATTCCTGAGAACATAAGGAAAAAAAAATTGCTACTTGAATTCTACATGTAGGTAAATCAGGGTCAACAGACAAAAGTAAAAGCATCACATGCTCCCTTCTTTCCCTCTCACACTCACCTGATCAGCGAGTATGTGACAAAACTTTTGTTGCAACATTTTGTTTGGACACTGAACTTAAGCACAACACCCTGCAGACTCTACAGCAACACCAACATAATCATTTTGTTCTTGTCCAAGAAGCATACCTTTGGGTCTGGGGTAAGGTGTTTCCAATCTCTGGGGTTAGTGGTACTACAGCCAGTGTTTGTGAAGTTGCCAAAATATCACTGACAGTGTGGATCTGTGGCTGGCTTCCCCCTTCTGGATTCTCTGCTCCTGTTTCAGCTTCTCCTGTCTTTTCCAAACTGGGCTGAGAAAGAGCTGAACTATACATAGACTCTCCTAAAGGACGACTGGTGTCAAAGCACTCAGGGAGAATAATGATATAATCCTCTGATGAAGCAGAGGAGCCTTGACTTTGAACATCGTCTTTATCATCATCTTCCTCTTCATCAGAATTGCCAGTATCACTACAGGGGTTTGCTCTCTCAGAGAGTGGAAGGTCAACTAACAAGAAAAAAAAAAGTGAAGTATTAACAATTGTCTATTTGGTACGGATAACAGCAAAGACAGTATCATGCCAGATATAAAAGGCAAGTATTCAGAAACAACCGTAAACCTTTGCTGCTGATATTAACGGTAAAATTTGCCTATTGGGGGGAGGGTGTAGTCTGAAAGAGTAATAGATTTTACTGTTAAGCCTATGCAGATAGGCTGCTGATATTATTGCTTATAATAAAAACAGGAATAACAGCTACACTGAGACCTTAAGCAGTAGCTTTCAGCTCCTAAATTACATGGATCAGAAAGGCCAAAGCACTGACTTCAAGCTACACATACAAAACATGGAAGTACCACCCATGCTTAACATAGGAGCGCTTATTTGAATACCCCATTGGAACCTTTATGTCCAAATTTCACTTTAAAGCAGCTGTTAAACTAGCTGCTTGTTCAGAGTACTGACACCAATTTTTCTGACATAATGATTCTCTTGATCTAATGAGGATCAATTTCCTAGAACAGCATCAGATCTTTTTTACACTTGATTTTTTTTGTCTAGCCTTTATTACAGCTTCATCTTCAAGTCAGGCCTATTTTACTTACCACAGTTGTTTTCTGTCATTGCCTCTGACTGGTGAATCTTTGCTCCCTTTTTGGAATTGGTATTAGTTTTTATCCTAGGAGATTCTTCCTTTATCATATTGCAACTAAAGGTGTCTTGCAATGTTTGTAAAGAGTCTAATAAAACAATCAGGAGAAAGAAGTATTATCATCACCTGCAGTGCAGGACAATTTGTGGCCAATGTCTGACTGCAAAAATGTAAAGCCACGGAAGCCAGCTAAAGACAGTACTCACTCTGGAGGATTTTCTTTTTTTGGGGGGGCTTATGATCAGGTGCAGCATCCAGAGTTAGAGAGCGAATGACAGTTTCACAGACAAACTGAGTCCCACTCATATCTTCTTCCCCTTCCTCTTGGTTCAACGGATGTTCAGCTTTCACTTTCACTATGCAAGTATCAGCAGGAAAAAAATCTTTGAAAGGAAAACATAACAGATTATTTTACCACCACCACAAGGAAATGTAAGCGTAAGAATATTTTTTTTAGGCTAGCCAAGGATAATATTGACTCCGTGTGCTAATTATTTTTAAAAATCGAAAGAATTTTGGAATTCAGTGTAAGTTGAATGTGATTGAGAAGCATGGGGGCCAGACCTGGAGTGTTTGAGTATAATCTTGTCTATAAAGGGCCAATTGTTAATTCTCCCAACAACTCTAGTAGTCGAACAAATCAATAGCAGCACTTGTATTTCTGAGTTCTACATATATTATGCTCCAATCTCTACAATCAGAGAGCAGTGTCACACTACAGCTTTGTGAGCCAAACAATCATTCATTTTTCCATGGAAGGGAAAGACAGGAGTTAGAATTCTTTTTAGACATCAAGAGTGCTAACCGCACAGAACTGACAATATCCCCCTCCCCTCACCCCTACGCTCCCCATGACCACTACGTACCAGGCACTGGTTTAAATCCACTCGCCTCGTTCTCTTCCTCTATCTGATCTAAGCCAGGTTTCTCCAGCAAGGGGCTATCACGTGGCAAAGGTGACATGCATGGAGTCATGTCTGAAAAACAAAGGTAGCAAAGATAATTGGCACTAAAGGATTAGGAACCTTCCTTCCTCCAGGGGGTAACCTTTTAAGAAGTTATGCTTTTTTGAGGGATACTCTTCCAAGACTGAAGAAACCCAGTTATCTTACAAGATAGCTTGGTGAAATAAACAACTGGCTTTACATTACACCAGCACTGCTTGAACAAAAATCAGCAGCCTTCTCCAATGTCTGGAATCTTATGGTCTTGGGAGTGAAGCTGAAAAGAAGACAAGATTGAAAAATACACAGGATACAAAGCACTATCACCCATCTTCTCTAAGACTGCAGCAAGAACTAAAATGAAAAGACAAGAGAGCTGGGAAGACACTCTAGCCTGAAGAGCAAATAAGCCTTGTGGACAAGTTCAGCTTTTCATCAGGTAAACAGTTAACTCAGAATGCTAGAGACAGCACATAGAATGCAAGAAGAACCTTACCAACAGGAGTATTGTGTGGCACTCGCTCCAATTCCTGCACAATATTAATGTCCAACAGCTCAAAGGACAGTAAATCCTACAGAAAGAAACCACAGTTTTCATCAGCAAACCCTGAAATGGAATCTTATGCTGTACTTCCCAGCATCAGATCTCACTAATTTACAACTAAGTCTACTCCACTTCGTTAGTTAACTTGGCACGATCTCAGACAGAAGTTAGTTTTCCCGTAACATATATCCATGTCATAGAACATGGCACACAAATTAGGGCAGCAAGAGGCTGCTCTTTATTGAGAATCTTAGTCTGTCCTGCACATACCTTCCATATAGTGACAGTCCCCGATTCTAATTCAAGAAAATAGTTCTGCTATATAAAATGCAACACACTTTTCCTGAAAATACAGTAGCTATTTTAGAGCTCAGAAGCTTTTTACTCTTACGGATGTCTATGCACTTAGATATTAAGTCCAATGTGGTTTGTTTTATCTCTACCTAAATTTTAGCACTTCACCTGTGCAGTGAGGAGATCAACAGATGGGATATAAAATTCTCTCTCACTTGGCAGATTTTTGATCTTTAAAGGAATAGTTGGCAGAGGTATTTCAGCTTGTTCCATGATTTCACCCATCAGTTGAGCACCTGCTTCTGTCTTTAAGGAAGCATCCTGCAAAAGCAAAAAACTAATGTCCCAGAAGTCCCTTAGGCAGGCAGGAAATAAAACAATTACATTAAATTTAAAGCCTGAATACTGTGTATAAGAACACAAAGTAACTTGAAAAGAGATTTAACTCAACTCATTTTAGAGCCAAAAGGACAAGATCTAACAGAGAAATCCTGCAGTGTTTCAGTTCAAAGAACCAGACAAATAGCTGCAGACTGATAACTACTCCCATGCCTGTCAAAAACAATGACAATTTATGAACTTTAAGAGTTGCACTTCTTTTCTGTTCAAAAAAAAAAATTAGAAGCAAACAACTAAAAGAATTCCCTGGAAATCAATATAGTTTGGGCACTACACCATTGCATCAAACAATATTCATTGGTCCTACTAGGAAATCCAGAACTTAATACCGTGAGTTACTTGCCTGTTTGGTGCTGGAAGCTTTATCCTTCTGACAAGAGTCAGAATCCTTCAAATTGTTCAATAGGTGGTCACCAGCTGGCGAAGGATCCACAACAATACTGCACCAGATCCTGGGCCCAAACTGCTCCCCTCTGTGTGACAGTCTCCAGTGAGAGGTGTAAGTTCCTTCTATATTAGGAGCTACAAACTCAACTGAAACAGTTCCTACTTGTCCTGATGGAAGAGAGGGCACTAACACATCTTTTTTTTCAGAAGATGCCAAAGTCAGATTTCCCCACATAAGTTTCAGCTGAAATGCACAACAGAAACAGTAGAAGTTAACTTCACAAGCTTCTCTGCAAACTGTGGGCATTAAGGAGCACTTAAAGTTCCTCTGCTGAAAGGCCTTGTAGATAATAGGCATGGAGAAGACAGGCTGCTCGTAAACATTCTCACGTAAGGTAAGAAGATACCTCCATCTTTCAACATGAACTCAGTCACTCCAAGAAGAAAGTCTTTTTCAAGTCAGAAAAGCAACATAGCTGTTGTAAAAAAGGTTGAAATGTAACATTATAACAGCTCTGGAAAACATGTTCAGTGCTGTTAATCTTGATCGTTTCCTCCTGCAGTCTGCAGTTGCAAGGCATGCTTAAGACAGCTGTTGCCCCAGAGTTCTCAGCTTGTGAATTAACGCGTCAAAATCCTAAACGGGTTCTGACAGAGAATCCGGATTCCTAACGCACACAAATATCGTCCACAGCTACCTTAGTGTGTGAAAGTAACAGAAAAGCAAAAATACCTTTGTGTCCGAGCTCCATTCCACATTGCCAGTATTTTTCATTCGCCAGTGTTTGATAAACTTTGTTCCTGGTTGCAAGTGAGTCCCATCTGGCAAATTCTCATCCACAAATACTGCACTTAGTGTGGGGACAATTGCTTGGAAGGGTTGACTAGGACTCCTGGGACTGGGGGGAGGAAATAAACAAAAAATACAGAAAAAAACCACCAAAACTGAGAAAGTTGTTCAGTTGCTATTTCACTGCCTAAAAATGGAGGAGGCCATTTAGTTTCTTTTCTCTCTAGAAGTGTTTCAAAATTCTAACATTTTAGCTACTGTTTTGACCTTAAGCCTGACACTGTAAAGCAGTTTGCTTCCCTTCGCTTGAGGAAAAGAAACATATCAATACAAGATCTGCTTATTTGGAAGAATATTATAATTACAGAACTCGGGTTTAACAGAGAAAAGTTCACTGTTCTTCACTTGATTTAGTCTGACAGCACTTCTGGCTACGCTATTCAGTCAGAGAATGAAGTCATTCTCTTTACATCGTGCTGTAGTCTAAGTGCTGTGACTTTTATTTGGCCTTATAAACCAACATTTTCGAGAAAGATTCCATTTTTTTCCTGAAAGGGGCTCAAAAACAGATTTAATCCAAAGCTTTACTGTTAATTTGGGCACACTGAGAGGGGACCAGTGAAGCAGCTCACACGCATGCCAACTTTAAAAAAATCTAAAAAAAATAGAAAATAAATCAGACCTAAATTAGCATCGGTTTTGCTCCTGTAATACACCTGTTCAGTAAAAAGGAAGCAAAGATAGCTATTTCAAGCTCCCCATAAATCTAACTGATTAATGTTAATTTCATCTTTAAATGCCCTAAATGGAAGGGATGAATTAAACTAGAACTATGCAATTCTTACACCTGTACATTTATAAACCCAAAAGGAACAGAAAATCAAAGAGGTTGCCTGCAAAGGCTGCTGTCTAGTGAGCCTCAGCCTAAGATCACATAAAGTGAAAAAGGAAAAAAAGAACTGAACATAAAAGCACACAGAATGTACTTTATGCAGAAACACTTAATATAGGAGGAAGATACAGGCCTTTTTTAAATGGCAATAATCTTAATTCATGCTGTATGCACATGCATGCATATATATATATTCCTAGGCATTCCCCTTCCTCCTAAATCTACATAAATCTGTAAGCTTCTGGTAATAATCAGTTGCTTTTTTTCTTCTCCTGCTCTCAAGTAAAAACAATAAAAACACTCTACCTTGCAAATTCCATTTTGACAAAATTCTTACAGGCTCCAATGACAAACGATACTTTAAATGAGTGATTTCATAACCTTCCTCCACTATAATTTGGTCTCATCACTAAAGCAAGGACAGCACAACTGAAATGCTCAGCTAACGACATCTCTTACAGGAAGGTATTAAGCTGGAGACACTCAGATTTCAGGGCAGGTGAGCCATTGGTTTCCAATACGTGCACTGAGTTCCACAGATGAATTTTCCTGTGCAATTTTAGCTGCTTTTTGAGCTCTCGGACCTCTGCCTTTCGCTGTTTCTTCTCTGCTCGTAATCTTTGCTTTTCTGCCTTCAGAAATCTTTTGTCCATCTGTTTCTGGAGCCTGCAGAGAGAATAAGCCACCTTGTTACAATACATTAAACAGATTAGAATTTAGCTTTAGCCAACACAGTCTTAGTCTCACAGGGAACACTTTAGGAAATGTCTCATGCTTCTAGACTGGACACCAGATGATTTTCAAAGAACATCTTCATAGTTGCTTGTGAAGATACCTTGGCCTCAGTGAAAGGGCAAACTTAAAAGCAGATTAGAGCATGCTCAAACTAAAACAAGCTTTCAATGTTTGCTACCCACCTACGACACAAAATTTTGTCTTATCTTTGTTATCAAAAATGCTGTAAGATTCATGACTTAAACCATTTACAACTATATAGCTATTTTTAGCTACTTACAATAAAGTTTGAGTACCATTTCCATTTCTTCTTACTTCTAAATCTAAAATAAAAGCTGAACATCAACCCCAATACAGGTGTTTCCACTTTGCTATCAGGGTAATCTTGTCAGGCACTGACAGGTGCCACCATTTACCTGACTTGCTCCAGAGCAGCAGGCAGGCGAGATGAAACCTCTGCCAGGCTGTAATTCTCAGCAGCACACAGCACAGGTCTTCGCAGCTTTAACAAGACATGATTAGGATCATGTGTGTATGTTCCTGCTTCACACTGTTCACAGATATTGTAGGCTGGACAAAGGCTGCAAAGCAGAAGAGGCCGAAGAGTACCAAAATGCAGACAGAGAATTAATGCACCAGAAAGACACTTAAGGATAATTAATCCTTACAGTTCTGCAGAGAAACAACTCTATCATGCTACCATCGTAAGCAGTGCCTGAGTGAAACAGAAGCTGGTTCTCTTGCTTATACATCAATATTTGGAGCCACCTGGAACATCTACATCAGTACCTCTCCTCTTGGCAAAACTGCACCACAGTTCTCACTTCCTTCTTGAATACACATTGAAAAAAACTGATGCTTTCTTTAGCACAAGTGACTAACAATTGTTGCTATAAAGGACAAAACATTATACTGAAATCCAATGCCAGAAACTGCACCATATTTATGAAAATACAGAGGGTAAGTCAACTGAAGTATTCAGGGATGCAAAACAGTTTACTTCTGCGGAAGAGGACTGGTAAAAAACAGACTGTCAGCTCCTGCCAGCAAGAAAAATAAACATCCAAAGAAAAACCCCTGTTGACATTCCATTCACTGCTTCTGCCTCATCCTAAAATACTTACAACGATTTCCTCATTCAAATAAAAACCTCACTTTTGACACTCATGAAAACTTATTTCATATTATTAAACTGACAACAGTGAGATAATTTAAAAAAGCATGACCTGACTTAGACTGTCAGAACTAAATAAAGCACTATTACAGACTGGTGGTTAGAACTTTTGCTTTTTTTGTTTAGTTAATTGAACAAAACATTTTTGTTTATAATTACTGCATGTTACATGCAAAAAAGGTAAAGAGTGTTTGAGAATATAGCAAGTGTTATAAAGTTCTCTCACTTTAACAATCACATTTTCTCAAAATAGCATTAAACTTGCTTTTATGAAAATATAGTCTAGTCATCACAGCAGAGAACATAAGCTGTTTTGAGAAACGCATACTGGAGGTTCTGAAATGTACAGCGTGCTGCAGATCAGAAGTCTACAAGTCTACAACACCAATACAGCTTCTCACACTCATTCACATGCCCTAGATGTTCAGTTTCCCACACTCCCATCTCTCATCATATTCTACCTGCACTGGTAGCGAACTCCAACAATTCGGGCCTGGCAGTTGCAGCAGGAGATCAGCCAGTCACACTGCTTGCTGTTCCCCTCTTGGCTCTCTGAAGCTGGAGGTGCTGCTGTAACAGAGCTCTCAGAAAAATCTGGAGGCTGACTGTGATGAACAAGCTTCTCATATAGCTTCTGTTCCAGTTTCTCAACAGTTTCCTTAACTACTTGTTCCCTGAACTGGAAAAAAGTTGTCATGGATGAGACCCACCTATGCAGCTTCAAATGTTAGATTACATTGTCCCAGCTCCCAATCCATAAGTCATAAAGCAGCTCAGAATCCACTTACCATCCTCCCCAGCACATTCCAGATGAATTAAACAAGCATCACATTCCTCAAATAGCATTTATATTTTAGAAAATACCAGCCCACAGGTTTTAACAAGGTAAACTAAAAATCCTATGTTCATGCTTGCTATGTTAGTTCTTCCATAACCTTGCACAAAGGGAAAGAAACTAATCTCAGACAACATAAATCCCAACAAATCCCTCCTTAGCCTCTATCATTAAGTCCTGATGTTGTCCATCAGGATGTTTTAAAAGCAACCATTAAGTTTTCCTATCTTTAGTTTGTATAAAGATGTGGCAAAAGAAGGGAGATGCACAGAAAAAAAAAATCTTGAAGATAAATGCATATACTATGGTACCACCGTACCGTGTAGCTTTGAGAACTCACTGGCAAATTAATTCTTACCACTTGTATCTAACTGCTTCTCAGTGATGTTTATTAGCTGTTGAAAACAGGTTAACATCCACATCTTACTAACCCATAGGTTAGACTCACTGGCCTCCTGAAAGTATTTTCTTAAACTGATCAATAAAAGCAAAGTCATCAAATGCTATGCTTCAATTCTCAGGAAACCCAAAGTATTACCGCACCGAGTCTCCAGCAGCAACACTATTTCATGCTCACTCTTTCATCATTAGTGCCCTGAAGTGCAACAAGACTTCTAGCATGGGAGCTACTTAAAAGTACACTCAAACCAATCAAGTGCATAAACCAAACAATCCACTTTTGTCTAAAAGCAGCATGTATCAACTTTTTTTTTTTTTAAGTTAACGCCTATACTGTGCAGTCACAGTTAGATATCTAGTTTCCATTTATCACCACAAAAGCAAAGTGATTAGATGCCTAAATGCCCTTTAAGATGCTGGTCACAAGTACTGAGAGCAAATGTGAGCAGATGTATAGAGTTAGGCATCATAAGTATCTTTTCCAAGCACAGCCTCTTATGTATTCCTTTAAGAATACTAAAATTCAAAAGAAAACACACTTACTGTTTCCAAGTAGCTAGTAAACCATTCTGGAGGATTTTCATTTGCTCTTCCTGTTCTGGTGTGATTTAATTTTTGCTGGGAAAAAAAAAAAAAAAACAAAAAACAAAAAACACACACCACAAAAATAAGTCACAAACCTTAAGTATGCAAAGCTGCAAAACAACCTCAATACAGCAAGTTAACCACTTTCAAATAGCTCTCCCCTCAAGTGTCTATCAAAAAAAATATTTGAAGTTCCTCAGAAACAGTGAAAAAGCAACAAGGAAGCCACTGACATTTTCCTGAAAAATTTCTGCCTCTAGCATTTGAGTGTAATTACACATCAAAGCCAAAGAAATCAAGTCAACCAGAAGTTACTGGATGGCAATTAGGACTTCAGGTGACCAATTGCTTTGTCTACCAAAATACTTCAGAATGATCAACATGAAAGAATCTGTAATTCTAAATGCAGGATCAAAATATCCTCTTGAAGACATTCAGTTTTGTGAGAATCACTTCAATGGGTTCAGGTAGCTCAAAACAAAGACCAACCCCTGAACTCAGAGTTTTTATCTATCAGCAAAGATGACGATCAGTCTATAAAGTGAACTACAGTTATGAATTCTTTGTTTTAAAGAATATATACTCCAGCTCTGTATCTTACCCGAACTGTCAGCTCCTTTTCGTTTTTTAAGTCTTCCTCTAATCCCTGAGCTAGCATGGAATAGCACGAAAGAGGTTTCTTCTCATCTTTAAGAAGTGCCAGCTTTTCTGTCACAGTTTTTTCATGTAGTTGCAAAGAACAAGAAGATGAAGTTTCTTTCGGAGAAGAGTTTTCTTCATACACATTCATCTGAAGTTGATTTCCTTGTTTAACTGCAATCTAAACAGTAAATACATACACACCATACTTACTCCACTTACAACTAGCATACAAAATCCTGTAAAAATACAGCACTACACTGGAGAGGCTGGGGAAAAACGAACACACGCAAAAAGAAAAATCGAGTGAAATGCCAAGGTAGACAGAGCTGATAGTCTATTCTGCCTTTCTTAAAGGTTACCAATATGCTTATTAAAATTCTCATTATAAGCAAAATGTTAATTATGCAGATACTCTGTAGGAATTTTTCAATCTACAATAAAGCTGTCCATATTAACAGTAAACAATAGAGATTCTGTCCAGGAACTTACAGTAAATTTTAATTTATGATTATTTTCAAATTATTATCAAACTTGAAATTCAGACCACAAGCAAAAAGTTCTGAAAGCATTAGTATTGCATAACTGAAGTTTGAAGGAATGCAATTCTTATTTTGTCTAAGCAAAATTAACTGCTTATAAAGTAACTAAGCATTCATACCTACTATAGTTTTACTGCCAGAGAGTACAAGGTTAGAGTCTATGTGGCAAGATTTTTAAAGGGATCTCATTAAGCCCAGTATTTCCAAACATGGGATTACTGTTAAAGTGTTTGAGAATCATTTAACCAAGGAAATGGCTCCTCAGGGCTCTGAATTACAACTGCCTATTCAACTAATTTATACTGATCAAGACTAGCCTGGATGGAAACCAATTATAACAAAACATTTAAGCTAGCATCAAAGCTGGAAAACTGAGCTACTCTGATTTCCATGGGCCAGATAACACTGTTTTTTCTCAGCTACACCAATTTTAATTAGAGAAGGATGAATACATTGAAAAAAGGCAAAGAGAGCACTTACCTTCAGAGCTTCTTCATATTCCTCTAAAGAAAGAGAAAGAAATGTGAATTTCCCCTGACTCAAACAATAGATGTAAGTTTAGCACATGGTATTTAGGGACCCTTGGATCAAGGAGCGTTTCCCATACCTTCTGTAAACTCTTTTCAATTAGTGCTACTGGAGGAAGAAGTTGTATATACAACAACAAGCAAACATGTTCTCACAGCCTAGACTTAACATTCCATTAATTTAGTCATTTCCAATTCGTTCCTATGGATCAAAAGCTCCTGCTTTAGGGAAGAATTTGATGCCCGACCATATATAAAATGCAAAGATCAAAAAGCAAGCATTCTCAACTGCTTCTCCAAAGCCATGAACAGTTGGGGTCTCTTTACTTGTCTTGCTTCAGTAAAGTAGCAGCTCACCTTTGCTATTCACACAGACCTGCAAAGAGAAATAACAGTGAGTAATAGCCACTGATACATTTTTGTGAGTCTCTGAAAATTAACACACTTTCAGAATAAATGTACTTTTATTTAGAGTTTGTAAAATACCACTCTTTCAGATACTTGTCATTGCTGCTATGTTTAATCATTAAGCAATGTTGTGGTGCTCTGGAGTGGACCATGTTCTTTATTAGATTTGCACAATAAGCAAAGTCTCTGGCACCTATGAGTATCCAGAACAAGCACGGTCTCATCTACTGGAAATAACCTGGCACTGGTAACACTGGGTCCACTATGCAAGCAGACAGAGGGTGGACCCAGTCGGTTTTAATGCCCAACATGAAACAACTCGCTCTTTTAATTTAGGTACAAGACAAGTGCATCTTCTACAAGTGCTCATTTATCAATTTTGCACATAGAAGTTACTAATACAAGAAGCTATTCAATCACTACAGCATTGCACAATTCTGAATGTTTACTCTATGAGCACTTCAAAAAGACCTTTAAGAGATGCACCTATATAGTTATACAGATATAGGCTGGAAAATAAGGGGAGAATCTTTCCCTGAAATGTTGCTGAAAGCAACTTGACATTTCCTCTTAGAGGAAAAAAGAAAAAAAAAAAACACCACAAAGATCCCCATTTCTGCAATTCAGTAGAGCTACAAATGAAGTAGTGATACACAAAGTCTGCCAAAGTTATGTTCTGTTTGAGAGCTACATTCTACTCGAAATCTCTAGGTAAACAGAAAGAACACAAGAGGGTGAGGTTATGCCAAGCAGGAAGTTACTCAACAAGGACGACTAGAAGTAATCAATTTGTTTTCTGAGTCAGTAATCTGCTTGGAGATTACAGCATTTGCATAAAACAAGCAGAGGATTTGAGTACACCAGATGACCAAAGTAAATGTACGCTAATGACAGGGGACCTACATTTTCAGAGGAAGGAGCACAGACTGAAAAGACAGGGCTTTACTATGGCTGCAAACACAATGGTTTCCATATATTCCATATACCCAAATACCATGTTCTGATACAATAAAAAAGTCCCTCAACAGAAGCATTCCTCCCTCAGAGCACAGAATCACTGGCTGTTTCTATGACACGGGAAAAAAGGCAGCAGCTTGTAAAAAAATATTTTAAAAGTAGTCTGTCACATTAAGAGTGAAACCAGGCTACTAATAGCTATTTTCTTATCAAAGGGGCAAAACCATCACTTCTTATTTGCATGATAAACACTCCTCAAGGACCCACTACAAATTATCAAGAACCAGAAAGGTTCACACCAGTCACATTTTGGTAGACCTGTTGGGAGGGTAGGGAGTATTTTACCTCATCATTATCCTCATCAATGTATTTGATCTGAATGTTGTCCAGGTCAAACGAAACTTTAACCTGTAAGGAAAAAAGAACACAACACAATGAGACAGGACTACGGACGTTTTCAGTTAATCATGATTACTAATAGGGAAAAGGCGTTTTAACCAGTTCACCCCTCCCTTTAGTTTCTCCCTTGAAATAAACAAGTCTTACAAAATCCATTTTTCTGGAGTTGAACAACTCTCACCAGTGCCTTGCCTCTAACCTTTACTACTTGCTATAATAAAAAGAAAAAATAAAACCACATTTCTTTCCCATTTCACCTTTCCTAGTTATGTTTACTCCAAAATAAGCAATAATAACGTTTCTATTATCAGAGAACTAGCTCAGGGTTGGTGAACTCAGTCATGGCAAACACTACAATACACAAAGGCTAAAGCCAACAATCACTGGATGATAACTTTTACATTCAAAAGCACCAGGAAGACCACTCACACAGGTGAGTGGCATTTTTTCCACAAACCAATTTGAGTTTCAAGAAACTAGGATTAATTCAAGTATAAAGAGCACAAAGTATCACATTCCACTACTTACTAGCTGATGTACTGTACATCTGAACATATAAATCCCTTATAGAGATCAGAATTAGAGGAATAAAGCTGAGCAGTTATTTTGTAGTTTGCATTAACAGGCCAGAACAAACAGCATCAAATGAACCATAAATGAAGGTGTTTGTCTACCCTGTGTTGAGTAACATTCTTTGAGGCTTCTGTGCACTTTTGTATCCTGTACCTAGACAAGCTGTATTTTTCTCGACAGAAACTCCCTCTGAAAAACTGCTACATCTGAGACACGTTCTGCTAGCCAGGACTTCAGAGGGACACTGGCAGCCTCAGACAACAGCAGATGGCTGGGACTTACGTAGCACAAGATCACAATGACATGGCTACATACATTGCTCAACGTATGTGCTACAGGCAGGTTCTGCCAGTGATATATCCCAAACCAATTTTTGGGAGTGCAGCAAAAGAAATAACTCAGCTTGCCAAGAAGAAACTACGGCCTGTATGCACGTTGTCTAATACCACAGACTGCTCCCCTAAAACCCAAGCTAGAACCAGAGATCCGGCCATCCCTTATAAACACCAGACATGTTTAATAATACATTAAAACATAAGAAAAACACAGTTTAACTGATGCTACCTTAAAACAGCAATTCACACGACATCGTGTGGGGACACCCAGTGGTACTACCTTGGTTAGAGAAACCCTCTGGTAACAGGCACCACACCTTGAACAAACACACCCTCACTCGCGCACTACTCAAGACTCAGGGCAACACCATGCTTGCTTGGCAATCCGCTTCCCGCTTTGACGCGAGTGGGATTCTGACCAGTTCAGGCATTTGCCGCCAAGTATTTTAAGCCTGAGTTAGTCCCTGCTCTCGGAGACTGAAATACCGTGAGTGAAGACGACGCAGTTCAAACTTTGAATTCGAGAAACTCACAATGCAAGAGCCTCCTACAGGGCACACCAGGACATGCTAGCTAAAAAAAGAACTGGAAGAAAGACAATAAAACACTGGGCAAGATCTCTTAAGGTGCGACTTTGAGAGTAGCAAACAGAACAGCTGCTACAGAATAAAAGAAAAACAATCACTGCAGCTTCATCATAGCCAAAGGAATCCTTGGTACGCAATTCAGCCTCAGCCAACGTAGGTGCTTTCACTAAGCAGCGCTGGAAACAAACACTCGAACAAAGGCTCGTCAGCACACCGAGGGCACGATACACGGACCTCCCCAGTCCCGCTCCGCGCAGCCGCCACCCAGCACCCAGCTCACGCACGGCACCGGGAAGCGAGAAGCCAAAGCGGGTGTTAGTGCGGCCGTACCGCGGGCAAGGGGAAACGCAGGGCGACGTTCCACAAGCGACTGCACAGCGCCGCTCCCGCCCGCCCGCGCGGGCCCCAGAAGGGCAGAGCGAGGCGCA